GAAGGATCGATAGGTAGCTGTCTTAGTGTGACCTCCTTCAAAGGGGTCACGTTAGGAAGGGCTCGTATACTATCAAAGGGAGAGGCAGTCTTATCGGCCAAGAAGAGGAACAAAGGTCAAAAGAGCACCACTCAGCTTCTGATGAGGTAACCTACCATTGCGACCACTGGCGCCACTGGCCGCCTGACGAGCCTCTAGAAGCACAACCTTGAGATCTGGATTCGAGCAGAGCAGGTTGTAGGATATAGAGGCGCCGCTGACCCCAGAGCCAATGATGGCGACATCGACCTCATCGGGAAGATCTGCGGTTGTTCGACGATCTGCTATTTCATCGGGGGGATCTTGCCAGTAACTTTGAATGGGGTTGTCCCGGGGCAGCCCTGGAGGTATACTGGCTCTTTGTTCCATTGGGATGACTACGGGGGGATGGGATCGAGATCTGGGAGGCGGATGGAGGAAGTCGACGAAGCTGACAGAACGGTCAGAAAGATAAGGGACAGGAGTGCGTACAGAACGGAGTCTCTGTTGGCATTATTATGGGGAACACCATGGTGCCAGTGGTGGAACTGATCCGGGAGGTTACATAAAGGACCCAGCGTGGGAGAGAATAGAGAGGTTCGGGAGATCGTAACTGCGGCTGGGGGAGGATCACGTGAGGCACGCTGCGGCTGCGGCAGCCATGAGCCAGAGCCCAACAATGCCGGGCTAATGCCGTTTGCGCCTGGCTGCTAATAACGTGGAGGGCCAGTGGTACCTTGTGCTGGCAGTCGGCGCCTGGGCCTTAGCCTGGTGACCACTAGCCCCAGTCAAGCCCAGTCTGCAGTCTGCGGTCTTTCGGTCGCCTCGCCTTCTCGTCTTCGCCCCGTCACCTGTCGCCTTTGCCTTTGACTTTGACTTTCGATTGTCTTTGTTCCTCTCAAATCCCCCATCCGCCAAACTGCTCTCCTCTCACCACTTCACATTCCCCCCCCCCCATCGCCTTGCTCTCACCGCGTCCTTGAGTACTGCGACCGCTGCATTTCTCACCGTCCTTGCCGTTATCGGCCACTGCGTCCGCCGTCATCATCTCCCCCTCCCCGGAGTCGCCATTGATACGAAATCCGATCGAAACTGCACGCCCCGCTCCGCTCGTGCCCAAGTGACAGCTCTGTTGGATCCCAGCGGCATCTTCGCGATCCCTCCGCTATCAACGGTGGCGCGCAAACCACCGCGGAAGGACTTCGTTGCGCGGTTTCATGTCCTCTTCAGCCCGGCCTACTGCCATTCCGCCATCTCCAACTTCTCCGCCTGAATCGGGTCTCAAGCGACGGCGCCTGTCTGACAATCTTCCGCAATCCCCCATCTCTCCTTCGTTTATGTCAGTCGCTACAAAGAGCTATGTCTCCTCTTACGGAAATACACATAATCCCGACGAGACTTCGGGGCGCTCGTCTCCGAGCTCACCAAAGGCTTCAGCACCGCGTAGCCAGCAGCCATTGTCCCGTCCCATGCCGTCCCTGCCGACTCCTGCGCACAGTGTAACGGGCACGTCTTCTGGTTTCGACATGGCGGATGATATCGATCAACATCGAGATAAGCGGCAGAGAGTCGAATCGGATAGAGATCAAGAGGCGGATCATATGGAGGTGGAACCACTTAGAGAGGCAACAAATCACGACCGGAACGATGAGATGGAAATAGACGGTGAAAGAACGAGCAAGGGAAAGCGCGCAGAACTTGGAGAAAATGAGCAGGCTGCACAACTAATGGTGGATGAGAAGACCCTGGAACAACTACAGAAAGACATGGGCGAAGCCTTTCTTCTCTGCAGATCCAGTAAGACTCTCCGTTTTTCCACCACCTACCATCTACTCTTGCAGGCTTGTTAACAGATTCCCTCGCAGAAGTTGAGCGCCAGAAACCGAACCCGCAGCAGCATCTGTTGGCATTATATGGGCTGGGTCCATTATTACACAGTGTCGCTCGCACGGATCCGCGGACTGGGGAGAAAATCAACAAGCTACGAAAATCGTACGAAGGTCAAATCAAGGGGTTTGCCTTGGCTGGGCGAAACAAGCCTGTCAAGGGAGAACGAAACGTGGAAGAAGATCAGCCCGGACCGTTGCGGCGTATGGTGGGATCGTCTCCTTGGGGTCTGCAGCCGGATGAGCAGTGGAATGCAGAGCATGCGAAATCCAGCATCGAAGTTACTGCAGACTTCCGAGCCAAGTTGAAACAAGCCATGCAGATGCAGCCGGGGACCGTTCGCAACAACGCCCACTGGGAGGATGTGCTCGGATTCGACAAGCCGAAACCGAATGTGGCTCCGGTGCAACAGCCCATCCCTCGCCCGGTTGCCAACGGAGTGGCACGACAACCTCAACCACCTTCTGCAGACGCAAAACGACAGACTCGTGGGAAAAAGCGGAGTTATGGTGATGATAGTTTTGTTGGATATGGAGAGGGTTATTCGGATTTTGAAGATGGAGATGGCGACGAATATGGCAGTCAGAGGAAACGGAAAAAGGTGACAGCCACGGATTACTGATGGTTGGAACTGCGACTTACAAAAGTCTCAGGATTCGGTTGGGACACCTCTTCCCCATGGACAATACCGCTAGATGCGGTAGGGCAGTCTCCTTTGGCGCCCCCTCCATCTTCGCGACATCACCTTCGAATGCATATTCTTTGCCATATTTTGCACGGATGGGATGTTTCTAAAGATACCCTAATGAGGACAGATAGAGTGATCAGAAAAAGGACAGGGCCAAAACTCGTGGGGGGCGTTTCAAGGGGTCAATCTTGCCTTTCTTCTTGTGCTATTTCAAGCATTGGACACTGGTCCGTGGGGAGAATACAGGTGGCCGACTCGGTCTTTTCCATGTTCTGGGGTGGCGAGAGACGGGTTCCTACTATTCCTGTTGCATTCAGCGTCGACACGACTCAAACTGCAATGGGGAAAATACGGGCTGCCTCCGGATAAATGCTGCAGGATTTGTTCACGCCCTGTGGCATCGTCCTGAGGCGCGTTGTGTATGAAGGATCATGACACTAAATGAGCAAAACATTCATTCGAAAACTACATATAGCTTGTGCTCCGTCCCCTGCAAACCTCTTCTCTGATGGTCCCCAAGACAACTCATCTTTCGCCATCGTCGCCGCCTCGCCCCTCGGTGCAGCCAAGTACTCTCGTCCCAAGCGGCATTCACTTGACCCTTGATCTGTGCGAATACGAGAGAAGCCGGCGTGGAAGAGAGAAGCACAGCCCAAAGGCAAGATGTCTTCCGACTCGTATCTGCCCATGCCCGCGCCCACCGTGCCCAAAAGGCCGCTATCATCCTACAAACTCATCTCATACGACATCTACGGCACGCTCGTGGATTGGGAAACCGCCATTGTCAAGCTACTTCAACCGCTAGTGGCACGAATCCCCTCATCCTCCCCTCTCAGCCAGGAATACCCAGACAGCACGACGCCCGGGTCGGAAGGACGGATCCGGCTCGCCGCGAAGTTCAACGACGTCGAACATGAGCTGGAAGCGAAGAATCCGTCCCAAAGATACGACGAGCTCCTAGAGGACATATACCTGCGCTTCGCGTCCGACTTTGGGGTCGACATCGCTGACTCCACGAGGCAGGAAGCGAAGAAATTCGGCGAGAGCATCGGCACCTGGCCACCCTTTCCAGACACCGTCGACGCCTGTCAACGGCTGGTCAGGCACGGCTACAAACTGGTCCCGGTCTCCAACGTGGACCGGGCGAGCTTTTCACGCACCTGCGCCGGCCCGCTCAAGGGTGTGGATTTCTTCCGCGTCTACACGGCACAGGACATCGGGTCGTACAAGCCGGACCTCCGGAACTTTGAATATCTCATCCAGCACGCGAAGGAGGACGCCCGCGTGGAAAAACACGAGATATTACACGTCGCGCAGAGCATTTTCCATGATCACGTCCCTGCTAAGACGATGGGATTGGCCAGCGTGTGGATCAATCGCAAGGGAGCGGGCATGGGTGGGAACGAGGCAATCAGGGGCATTCACGAACGAGGAGAGGTCGGGTATGGATGGAGGTTTGGCACGTTGGGCGAGTTGGCGGATGAAGTTGAGAAGGAGAGAAGCGAGGAAGGGAAGTAAGTGTGTAGCAAAGGACCTTTCTTTTCGACCGACTGCAACTGCACCATCTCGAATACTCTCCCTTTTCCCATCAGTCTGGGCTTATTGCCATACGGCGACTGTTGTCATGGTGGGAGCAATGCTCAACCCCAGCGTAGCCTACGACCAGCTGAGAGCTCACTCCTTTTTCTCCCAAGACCGTTCTCCATTGGCATGAGCCTCCGCATTCCATCTCGCATCACTGCTCGCAGTGACTGGTACCCAACTTGCTTGATATCATCGCAACGGTTCACGACATCATGGACCAAGAGGCACGTTGGTCAGGGGCCAGGCAATTACGGTCCTTGATCATCCCGCTCTGGAGGTCGTTCTTTCGTCTGTTATTGTCAGCTACTGCTTCCTTGCTGGGCCGACATGGCTCTGTTTGGGCGAGGGGATATCGATGACCACATGTCTTCGTGGTCCTCTTGCTTCTCAACGACATTTGCATCCTCAGCCTTGCCGCGTCAAGCCGTGCAGTGTTGTACATGTCTCAGCATTCTGGCGCCCGAGATGTCCTTCAGCACGTAGGCATCACCCCGAAGCTCCTATGTATGATGATGGGTTTGAAGAACCTTCAGCCTGTCGAATCCTGCCACGACTAGAGACGAGGTTCAAAGGCTGTCACAGTAAGCCGATTCGGGAAATGCTGCTCAAACGCTACTTACGCAGACCCCTGCTCGATTTCTGCGCAATGTTCGATACGATGGCCGCCTCTCCTTGTCTCTTCTGAGTCCTATGTCAACACACCGTCCGGCTTGTTTAATCGTGTCCTCTCCAGAGCACTTCGAAGCCCCTGTCGAAGCCCCTTCTCTCGGAACATGCACTGGCGGCCTATTGGCATACCCTACAGGTTGCTATACCTTAAGACATGACGAATGCTCGACGCAGCCTCCAGTCAGATCCTTTCATCCAGCAAGATCCAAATGCTCACCGCTACAGCAAGAGACTCTTGAGGGAGCAATGGAAAGAAATCAAGCCTAGGGTGTTGGAGCACTTGAACCAGGGCTCCATCTCTGTCGATATCCTCCGAGAACTCCAGTCACACAATACTCTCATCACACAAAGCCAACTGAGAGGGCAAATCAAGAAAGGGGGGTTCCAGAAAGGGGGGCAAGAGTCTCCTCCGCCGGCGGTACATGTCTCTTGGGATCCCGCCTCATCAAAGCAAACTACATTTCACGAGAAAGCACCCAACAATAGTACACAACTACTATCGGTCAATGACATACCCAGGTTCTTGACCATGAACTCGGCCATCTCAAGCACCGATTCGAATCTGGAATCAGAACTGCAGGGCGCAAAGCCAGCCTCCTCCTTTGAACCCACTACACAGACACAAATATCGAATTCGCAATACACAGCCGACGTGTGCAAACCCTATATGACCGTGGGTGAAGATCTCCCCTTTCCATCTTCGTTGGTCCCATCGGAATGCTCGAAGACGAATGGTAATAGTCCATCTCGCCAGACTCAACCTGGAGAGACGACACAAGCGGAAGAAAATCCAACGGCGGAGAAATCTACTGACGGAGAGGAGGCCTCTAAACTTTCAATCCGCTGCGCTTGTTCCTAGACCTGCATGATCATGATGACCAGTCACCCTTTGCCAACGCGAGCATAACCCACCGGATATGTTCTTCTTCAGTAGCCAAACATGGTGTTTCTATCAAGACTCTCAGACGCCTCGGATATGTGGCTACGTTACTTTTCGCCCTAAATTGCTATGGCGAGGCCTTTCACATCTCTCTCTATATTATCGATCAACTCAACGGTAACACTTCGCTGCAAAGACAACCACGTCAACTTCTACCCTTCTCTGTCATAACCTGGCCCGTTACGCTCGCACATGGCAAGACAAGGAGGCTGACATTCACTTGCTTGGAAACCTATGCTCAGCTGTCGATTTGGCATCCGAGCGGACAGGAGGCGAACCAACAATCTGCTTCATATATGCAGATCCTTCGCGTTTCCCTTGCACCTGTTGCATGCGAGCCAGATAAGGCAACCGCCTATTGGATTCTGAACATTGTGCTGTCAAGTCCCCAGGCAGATGATGAGCACAACTTCCAGCCAGATCCGTTACTGTGTATGACGCTTGATGATGCCCTTCGCTTCTTCCACAAGAACCGAGATATCAGAAATCCCATGGGTGGAGCAATTGATCAGATAAAGGAGATTCTGAGTGTTAACAATGGAGAGATCGATGGAGTTTGGAGCAAATACTGGCAACGTGGACAAGATAAGTTCTTCGTGGGTCAAACGTTGGCGTGCTTGCTCTTGAAACACCGTCGAGGCCATGGTCTGTCCCTCGGCAAAGCACAGAAGACTTACGACACGAGATATCATTCTCTCAACTCCGAGAACAAGTCTTGGTTACCTTGTGTGTTCTGCTCGGGAAGCTGTATTGGAGCTACTGGAGTAGCCTCACGAGTGTGGCTGACCAGGTTGAAACTCTCGGAAATCCTCTACCTGGCCGCCTTGTCGATTGAGCGAGCCATAAAGAACGGCGCAGTCACTGAAGGGGACGGCTTTGAAATTCCACAATTCTCCCGCGACTACAAAGGCTATATCGACATCTATCTTCGGGGACTGGATTCCTGCCCGTGGCCATCACGAACGGCCAGTTGCGACGAACGTCTCATTGGTATACCTGCTCTTCAGGCCAAAGTATCGACTGAATCAGACCTTAAGGCCTTGGGCATACTGCTTCTGGCCCCGAATCCCCGTTGCCGATCAGAAGTCCTTCTCGACCACGTCAAATGTCCTACAGCGAAGGCAAGTCGACGAGGTGATCACTATATGGAATTTTCTACCACAGACCTTGTATTAGGACCGCCTCTTGCAAGATCCTATGCCTCTTCGCTAAGCTCCGGCGACAAATCTTTCAAGGCTCTAGCTATCGAGCGCGGAGCCCTTGAGCCAAGAAAACCTGGATCGATATCTTTGGTCCCAGCTGCAAATTGGTCCGATGGTCTATCCTCGATACATGAGAGCCTAGAGCACACTCTTCCCTATGTCGGGATGCATAATTCTTTTGACCGTGTTATAGAGGGATTACTGGATTATTAGCAATGAAAAATTGTGGCCTGGAACATCGTGAACGATCAATCTTTCCTCGAAGCCATAGCGGTGGGACGTGGTACGCGTTAGTTCTTGAATCTGTGATCCCTTGAGCTCGCACGGAAATGAGTAAAATGCTTTGCCAGGATATTCAACCATGGAGATCAAGAACGCTCTCATCTTGTATCAGTTTGAATTTTTTGCCCCCAGCCTCGAGGATGACGAGCGACATTGGTATGAAAACGTGTTGCATTGCTCCTGCGGCGTGATGCCTCCAACGTTGTCGAAAAGTCACTACCATTCATTCCCAGTCCTGTCCTCATCATTAGGACTATAGGGCTCTAGTCAGGAGTCCTGACCACAAGTACTTGTACTTGTATGTAAATAGTCCTAACGAATACCCTATCATTAGCCAGACTATCAGCGGAGCTAAACCTATTCTCTACTAGCACTTCCCTGTTAGGGTTAGTTGTGTCTTTGAAAACTTTCCGAATTTGGCTAGCGACTTTCGCATATAATACTGGAGTCGGAGAGCCGGGTGGCTCCTCCTCGAGAGATTATTCTACAATAGGGATGGCCCGGGACTACCTAGTCATGACTACTTGGTATGTAGATATATGCTACATGTATCCTCGGTATAGTCCTGGCGACATTGAGGAGACGGTTCGAACAGACAATAGTCTCAAAAGGACTATACGAAGTCCTAGCAACGCTGGAATTCGTCTCCTGTTCTTCGCAAGCGGCAATCAAGGCTCCCATATCAGGAACAGAAAAGGCTTTGTGATGATGCAATATCTCAATACGCAGATATAGTATAGTACATACTGCTTGTAATGCTAGGGTATCTCAAGATCTAGCTTGCAAATATTGCTACAAAGACCACAGACAGAAGCGAACAGCAATATGTGCAGCTTGCGCCCGAATCAGGAGCCCTGTCACTGCGGTTGCTGGGATATCTCTGTCTGCAGAAGCTTCAACCTTCTTGGCTAATCCTTCGGTAATCTCATCCTGTTTCATGCTTATTGAGGCCGCTCTTGTAGATTGTCCGAGGAGCCGTGACACAGCTGAGCAAACGATCAACGACGGCATAGTGCTTCACACAATCTTTTCCATCGCCCTGCTGAAACCTGGCTTGTTTCGGACTCGGCCGAGGGTACGGCGGGAGGTAGCACTAGTGGAGGTGTTGCTGGAGGCGCAGAGGGAGATGGCGGAGGATTGTCCTCGTGCTAGCCTCCAGAATCGCTGTCGTCAGAGTCCGAGCTCGGAACCTCTGATAGACATTCGAGCATCCCCTAAAGGGACGATTGGTCGACGACCTAGCGACTTGGCCCCTACCTCGTCATCCGTATTGCCCGGTGACAGCGGGTTAGAGAGATCGCGGACGACTGGCGAAGGGTTGTCTGGTTCTATATGTGGTCGAGGTGGTGGTTCTGGGTCAATCCTGGCCTTGACTATGGCGCCAGCCTGTATGATGCTGATCGTGGGACACATTTGGCCTTTCACACTAGACACTACAATACTTTTGAGAGATGCTTTATTAGCTTGAAGATGCTTCAGTTGCCACGGAAAGAATGGGAAAGAATGTGTGGGGTGGGTATGGAAGGCTACTAGTTATCTAGATGTTTCCTATTCTTCGTGAAGTAGGCGGTGCCCTCGTCGACATCGAGCCCGCAGCCCACAGTATCGCCTTTCTCGAATGGCTCGGCATGTTTGATGCTGATGCCGTCGATGCCGTCGATGCCGACCCTAACCATCGTCACCATGGTAGCCAAAGCTGTCTGCACTCCATCCTGGCATGAAATGCCTGGATAGCAAGTGTGAGGAGAGGCCGATAGAGACAAGACTCGAATGGCCCGTCCCTTCTGCATTGACCGCTTCTTCAGTTTTGATCTCAAACTAGTACTCCTTGATGTCTCTGGGGACGCAGAAGTCGGATCTTGCTGCGAAGCCTCTGTCATAACAGAGCCTAGGACCATCGACGGCATTTCTAATGAGAGGGACTTGTGGATCCAAATCTGGTTCAAGATCGGGCCATTTCGTAAAGCAAGCACCGACTCCGGAGTTCAGGCAAGGAACGACAAAGGCAGAGCTTCGCATTCATGGAAACAGCTCCTGGAGGTCTGGATGGGAGACTAGGCACTTGAGGACGTGCCTCTGAATTATACTGTCATTTGGGCCGAAAACACCAGCATCTCAGGGCATTTATCAACCTGGCTCCACCCCGTTGGAGTTCGTTGCGTTCCTGGTATGGCTGTCGGCTATTGGAGTGGCAGGTCCGACAACTATCTACCGAGTTCTGCATGGACTTTGCTTGTTGCGATCGAGGCTGGGGCCTAACCATTGAGATCCAAGGTGCATTTGATGTTGGCTTGCTTCCACGAGAACTCTAGCGGCTGCTTCCCGTCCCATAGAGGCAGCAAGACAAAGAGGCGTGTGGCCTCGCCTATCTTCGTCCTGGACTGCTGCTTGCACTTTCGAAGAAGCTTTATGCAATCCATTGCACCCTTTGCAGTACAGGCGTGCACAGGAGGCCAGCTAGCGCTCGTTTTCACACTTACTTCTGCGCCAGGGTCAATGAGACATTCGACCACAACCATACTCGCAGCAAATGCAGCCAAGAACAGCGTAGTTGTGCCTGCATGTAAGGGCACATTTGGGTTCGGCATTGTGTTCCAAAAGCATGCTGGAGGATAACAGACAACTGTTGGAGACTGCGAAGTGTAGCGCTGTCCATCCATCGCTGTTTTTGGAAGTGATGTCGAAAATATGTCGTATAATTAATCTACTCAGTATGGGGGTCGCCTCATCCTTGAGCCCAAACGCAAATAGTCCCTCCGTGGTCTCTATCAGTGTCCGCTCATCGGCTCCATGTGTGACAAGGCTGTCGTCGTAAACACACACCGTAATAGCGCAGTACGCCCAATGCGAATCTTGTCGTCAATAGCGGAACCTTGTTGAAGGGTCATGATTTCTCGACCTCCTCAACGTCACCCCTCTCAGCGGCGTCGTGGATGGGAAGGATTCCCGCCTTAGCTCTTTTCTTTACATTGACGTCAGGGTTGTGCACCAGGATTGTCTTTGCTGAAGAGATGTGGCCGTTGGCAAGGACCACGTGCAGGGGAGGTATCGATAAATTGTCGACAGCATTGATCGAGGCTCCGTGGTCGCGCAATATCTCGATGGCTTCATCCGATCCCATGGCTGTGGCTAGGTGAACCGCCTCGCTATCATACGTTGTTTTGAATTTAAAATCCGCACCATATCCCACCAGCTTTCTCAAGATCTCGGGATTCTTGTTGCTAGCGGTATAGTACAGGGTCGTCTGGTGTTTCGAGTCCGCGGCGTTGACATTTGCCCCAGCCTTCAAAAAAGACTCACGCAATCCAGATGTTCGAATAAAATCAGCTAATTGAAGTGGTGTTTCGTTCATATTCCCCTGGGCGTTTACATTCGCACCCTCTTCCAACAATATCTTCACGATGGGAGCGAAACCTTTGCGTGCTGCGTCATGGAGAGGAGTCAACGCTAACCGCAGAGTCCTTGGTGTTTGGACTAGCTCCACGTTGGATAAGAAGTCGAGCTACATCGGAATCGGTAGCCATATGGAGAGCTGTGTCTCCGTTGCACGCTGATACGTTCACATCAAAGGTTTCCCCAAAGTTTTCCCCTTTGCGGCCATTCAAGCAACAGCTGTGCCACGTCGAGCCTTCCGAATTGGCTCACAAAGTGTACAGCCGTCCACTGTTTTTTTATCAGTTTCGTTCAGAGGAATATGTGCACGAATCAATCCTTTCGCTGTTTCAGCCATGTTGTATAGGGCAGCAACAGGTGGTGCATTCACTCCATTCTCCTGATCAACAACAGAAACAGGACAGCCAAGCCCAAGGAGGGCGTTCACAGCCTCTGCTTTGTCAATTGCTGACACTCCGAGCAGTGCGGGATTAGCCTGCCCTGTGTGCGGGTCCACGGACGCTCCGCCTCTAAACAGAATCCCAGTGATGTCGAGAAATCCTTGTGCTGCTGCAAGACCAAGAGCTGTGACGCGACCATTGTCTCTGCAATCAAGATCAGCTCATCCTTTGTATAATATGCTTACGGCCGCTGCATAACCCTCTGTCGCGGCCAGGTGCAGAGTTGTCCAGCCCTTCTCCTTCGTGGGAAGGTCGCATGCTCCCGGCATCGAGGAGGTAAGAGACAAGGTCCGCATTCCCCTCGTTCGCATTGTAATGTAACACTCCACAACCGTCGCTGTCCGGGGCTGCGACCAGAGAGTAAAGACTGGACTGTTTTCAATGAACCACATGCGCATGCATCTAAGAGAGGTGTGGCACCGTCGCATCGTGCACTTCTAGATTTGATCCTACGTCCACTAGGAGGTTGGCGATGTCCGCATGACCGTACCGGGCGGCGCTATGCAATATGTGATCAACTGCGTTGATGTTGGATCCTTTGTCGATAGACAGTGGTCCAATTTTTTTACACTCTTTTGCTGGGTTCTCCAATGGTCTGTGACCGACAGCAAAAACCAAAGCAGTAGAACCCGCTGAGTCTTCCTCATCAATGTTAGACAAGATGCGGCTAGGGTCTGTATCACTGATAGAAAATGTAGATAAGCGGCTGCATGCAAAGGCGACAAAGGAGGCTTTGTCCATCCTCGTTCGGGGGAGTCTTACCATCCACGGCGTTGCCAGACGCACGTCCAACCTTTTTGATAGTTCTTGAAGTAGTTGTCGACGGAGTCCCAAAGGGTCTCCGCCGCTCACTCACAGGAGGTATCCAAATGGGCCGAGCTTATAGGTCGAACCAGACTATGGAATATAATACGTGCGTGGTGATCCCATTTCGTGGCCGAGTAATTGAGGAATAGACGTTGGTTTATAATGTTTCGCATTTGTTTCAAGTTCTCTGATTTTGAAACGTCCCCACTCATCGCCTTTTCGTGGGCCCTGCCAGGCAAGTTGAAGTTCGTGGCGCTTCAAGTATGCCAGGGAGGTCATAGCCATGTATTTGTGAGCCCACATCTTGGAGAATTGTATTGTCGAGAAAGTCGATGGGAAAGAATATAGGTAGACACTGTCAAGCAACAACTGTGGGGCTGAGGGATGCACAAAGAAGAGTACGAGGGTCTTCTGACGGCACTGGTTGACTACGATCAAGCAAATCAACCTGTTGGCTCTGCAGGCCATGTTCATGGTCTCCAGGGTGAGGATTGCTGACCTTGAAGGGTTCAAAAATGGCCCAGATTCGATCCGTCAGCGATCCTGGGAAGGGCTCGCCCTAGCCACCTTTTGCCACGCTCGGGCGTAGAAAGAAGTGATTTCAAGAGGCGTATCCTGGACAACATCCTATGTGAGGCTGGCTTCTCCTTCCGATATCATTTTGCAATGTCCTTCACGGTAAACACAGCCCCCTGAAACATGCCCTGAGACTTGGTTAGAAGCAGTCGGCGAAGTTCCACCAATTCGCTTTGGCCATCGAGCTCAAAAGGAGTGCCATGTCAGCGCCCCGACGCTCGTTCAGAGAGTCGACCACGATAAATAACATGTTGCTCGAAACAGGCAAGTTGAAGCCACATTCACCGAATTGAGGTTCAGAGCAAAGCTGAACCTCATGTTGGCTCGTATACCGACCTCGAAAGCCGAAGACCGCATTACGCCGCGTAGGAAAATATGTCGCCACATAGCCAAATGTTGAGAATCTCGCGTGGATCGCGCATTGCCCAGAGCAGGCAGAGCTTTTTGGTCTGATTCGGTTACTCCTAGAAGGTGTGGAAAACACATATTAGCTTCAGCTGAAGTCAGGAGCTATCGCCGATACATCCATTCCGCGGCAAATTGCCATCTGTTCGCGGCCTGTATCGTGGGATGAGAGGAGCGTGGATGAATGATGTAGAAGTCGTGAAGAAAGGATTGAAAAATGCCAAAAGATGGTGGTTGTGCACCCAGAATCGGGGGAGCTCATTAGCGTGCCCTTAGGCCAGTGAGGCTAGTGAGATACTTACAAGTTGGGGACGCTTCCGGGCGCCCCCAGGCCGGATCAATAAGCTCAACGTTTAATTAACTGGTCAACTACTAGGTTTGTCAACCTAGCTAATGGTATTCTCATCTATTACTGCGTATGCGCTGACTGTACCCCGTATGTCTATGACCCTTGGGTAGGTACCGGCACATTGAAGCCGTTCAGATTGACCGATACTAGGGCATACAAGGAAACCAAAAAGATGAGTTCGGACAGCATACTCTGGCCAAGAACCTGGACCCCTTGGGCGTACAGATCGTCAGACAGCGGACCTCCCGACACCAAAGCCTTGGAGATCCTGTAGACCAGCATTTCGTCCGGGGACAGATCTTCCGGTGCCAAACCACTGGCCAGCGCGGCCACTTGCTCCTGGCCGAAATAGTGCCTCGAGAGACCTGAGTGCGCGTACACCTCGTAGGCGGCTTTGTAGTGCGACCCGACCGTTAGGATGGCGACCTGGCGTAGCGTCTCTGGGAGTTTGGCCACCTTGAACATGACTTTGCTCAAGTGCCACATTGCGCTGCCCACGACGGGCTCGTGGATCCACGCGTTCCACGGCCCCAGGAGGGCGCCGTTCTCATCGCGCGTGATGAAGGAATTCTTGTCGTCCAACGTTTTGACTATGTTGTCGACAACGTCGTCATACAGTTCTCTCTGATCTGGAGTGAGTTGCTCCGGTGGCACCGGCTGCAGTCGCATTCGAGAGCCCATTTTGAAGCAGAATTCGAGTCTTGGGTTCTACGAGTCTGATGGGTCGTCAAGGTTACTTGCTGGTTAGACCTTTAATGGAAATGAAGACCTGTGCAGGCCAGTGCCGAAGATCCTCCTTTATATCCACCCTTTTTAACCTGCTTGGCGTGTTTTCTTCACCGTACCAGGTTCCCTCCCCTTTTTTTGTGCTTATAGCCCTCTGACAAAGCACTCCGTATCGCGCCAGAAGTATCGAGAGCCGCTCGACTGTAGGAAAGATGCTATCGGGCCCCGGGATCACCCACCTGCGGAAACAATGCGGCAATGGGCGATGATGTAAGCATTGTCATGCAACAAGCTCTGGCCGCGCGGAGGTGGCGCCACTTTGGTGCTTCTCGCAATGCCGGGACATATCATGATAAGAGAGGATAAATGTTATACACTGATGACAATCCTACGCATGCATGTATGTAGATCTGAGAATGAAATTATATCATATGCCCGGACGCTAGGCGTTAAGAGGTGGAGCGCCAAGAGCTTCGAGGCTAAGGGTTAATAGCGAGGCAATGGAAAATGTTGCGGCCACCCACTATTCTCAAGGGTTGCTGATTTGGGCTCACCCGAATCCCCTAGGCGAAACCCATTGCAAGCCGAGCTAGCAGCCCTGGTCCGAAACCCTACCAGTGCAACGGATATGAGATAGTGATTATCAAACCAGACAGAAGGGGGTCGAGGAAAGGTGAGAGCAGCATGCAAAAGAACAATATGGAGCATGTGCCTAGCGTATCAATGTTCGCTATCTAGAACTTTAGAACAGCTTTCCCAAAGTTGCGCCCCGAGAAAAGAGCGAGAAGGCCATCGATGGCATTGTCGATGCCCTCACACTCCCAAGTCGCCACTTTGAGTGTCCCATCCTTGATCCACCGCTGCACGTTGGCCTGGTGCTCTGCGCGGTACTTGTCGCCGAAACCGTGATCAAAGACAACGAAACCGCGAACAGTGAGTCTCCTTCGCAGGATGACATTGTAATTGTACAGAGGATATCGCTGGCCCGGCGCCGCGCTGTAGTCGGAGATCAGGCCGCAGACGATAACCCGTCCATGTTCCCTCATCGCGTCCAGGGCTGCCTCGAGATTCTCGCCGCCGACGTTCTCATAGTTGATATCGATTCCGTCAGGAGCCAGCCGTTTCAGGGCATCGCTGGGCCGCTCCTTCTTGTAGTTGAACCCTGCATCGAAGCCAAGCTCGTTGATGATGAAATTAAGCTTGTCGTCCGATCCTACGCTGCCGATCACCTTGAGTCCTTCGCGTTTGGCGAGTTGTCCGACCATGCTGCCCACAGACCCACTAGCAGCACTGATAAAAATTGTTTCCCCTTGCTTGGGCTGTCCAATCTCATAGAAGGACGAATATGCGGTCAGTCCCGACATCCCGAGGGCTCCCAAGAATACCCGGATGTCCTCCAGGCCCAAGGGGTTTTCTAGATGCTGGATCTTGTCGAGCTCTGCACCGCTCAGCGAGATGTATTGCTGGATGGGCAGTTCTCCAATGACCTGATCTCCGGGCTGATACTTGGGGTGGCTCGATTTGATGACCTTGGCAATGCATTGGCTCACTAGCGGCTTGTTCAGCTCAAATGCTGTCGCGTTGGATTTGATGTGCGTTGGGCGCATGCGTCCTTTCATGTAAGGATCAAAACTCGCATATTCGGCTTGCAGCAACACACCCCCAGCCGGGGCGGGGGAGCTTCCATCGTAGTCGCTAACAGTTTCGATGGTCAAGTCCTTGCCTGCCACGGGGAGGCCTTCAGGGATTTGTCTGAAGACCATTGCCTTGTTTAATACCATTTTTGCAGCGCCGTGACGAGGTAGATTCAACCAGCAAAATATATGAAAAGCGGTATTCTCAAAGAATGGCAGGGTGAAGATAGGAGAGGTCTGCAAACATCATAGCCAGCTGGTGAGCCTAGCACCTTGTACCGCGAGGATGTTCTCCTTTATCGTTGAAAAGGCTTTAAAGGCAACAACTCACGAACTCATTCTCGGGTGTCGAAATCCAAAAAATTCTTACCACTACTTACAAATAGCCGCGAGTGGTTTCGCTCTGCGGCAAAGGAAAATCATCCCGGGGTAAGCATGCATACGACCGATAAAACGTATAAGAATCTCCGATCAGGTATCGAGTTTGTGGCTCTCGCCATGGCGGAAGCGCAAATACAAATACGGGAAACGTCGCAGCTCATGTTTGCCATGCAAGATAATTCATCGGTTTCGGGATGCTGTTGATTGGCCACATCCACCATTTAGCGATCTCCTCCGCTATCGCCGCGGCGATGTTGAAAGTCTTCCGGCGGAACCGTTTGGTGAGGTCCTCCCGAAATCCAGGATTAGACCAATGGCTCCTGTTGTAGCGTAGGTATGTCTCTGTAGTGCCTGTTGACGTTGATTAATATGTTCGTGCATCATCCGTCGCGTTGCCGGACATGACATCTCTGATCAGGAGCAAAATACCTCGGAATTTTCAGGTCTGAGGAAGTATCTCGTAAGCAACTTCGTCTGGAATTTGCACTCGGGATTTTGTTGATCTGTTCCCACCACTATATATAGACCGACAAGAAGCGGAGCGTAGGAGAGGTGCTCTGCGCATTGCATCAAATCGGCAATAGACGACGCAGTCACATTACTCAATCCTCTGCTTCCTTCCAAAGCATACACACACACATATTCACACCTACCACGCCAGGTCATTAAGTCGTGTCTTGGCGACCAGAGACATGGCACACCAAGCCCTGTATCAGACTGTCAACCCCGCAAATGGGCAATTGGTCAAGACCTTTCCCACGACGACAGATGAACAGGTCTTCGCCGCCCTCGGCCGAGCTCACGAAGTCTATCAGAAAGACTGGCGTCGCCGATCCGTCGCCGAGCGGTGCCAAATCATGGGC